TTCCTTGAACTATGCGCTTTTTTTTTTTTTGGTTTTTCTCCGGTACCGGGAACTGAACTCACGACCTTGCGCTTGCCAGGCAGGCGCTTGCCAGGCAGGTGCTTTGCCACTGAGCTAAATCCCCAGCCACCCTATGCGCTTTGTTTAAACTTATAATACAGATGCTTCTTGTTTTCTATAGTGAGAGGATGGATCATTGCACCACATGATTATGTAGTCTTTGAGAAACATACCATTTGGACCTTTTGGAGGCTTTGTTTTCTAGTTAAATGTCATACTGCCAGTTAAAGTTTTGACCTTTAGCTGTCTGATGGTGATTTTCCAGATCGAAGTTAATGTATGTAAATAGTCGCTGCACTGTTTTGTATTAGTAGGAAAAGGAAATGTCTCTGTTACCCTTCCTTCCACAACACTGTACTGAAGTCTGTGCGTGCCTCTGTACCTATGAAACGGTGTTCTGATTTCTAATAGGTTTTCCATCACTTGATGTTCAGTATCCTTACCTTCTAATCCTGTGTTTGTTTCTGTTGCAGCAGAAGCATGACGTAAAAGTCAAAAGACAGCAGTGTGTGCTACAACACGGCCAGAAGAGAATACCGGCTGCTGGTCAGGTATCTCAAGGTCAGGGTTGCATGCTGGAAGAAATGTTACTTTAAACTCTGTGATCTTATTTCCATTAAGTATTGCTCCCTGGGAAATTTTCAAAAAAGGTAAATTACATTGAATTATGTATTTTATTTTTTGGTTGATCTGAAAAATGTTTTTCTAGAGTCAGCCCTGCCCAGCACTCATATTCTCGATTCTGAGGTGATTTGAGATGCCAGGGGAATTTCCTGCTCCCCTGCAAATAGTTCTCATGTGATAATGTAGGTTTTGTATTTGCAGGAAAAACAGAAACCTGCTATGGTTTTTTTTTTTTTTTTTTCCACTTAAAAAAATTTTCATTTTAATTTGAGGTTTCCCTAAATATGGTTCAGTGCCTTGTTTCTCTTTGTGTCTGATGTTTAATTTTTACTTACAGAAATCACCTTTATTCTTTATATTTGCTATTTTTATTTCTTGATGAAAAATTAGGACATAGGGATAAAGGAAAAAAACAGAACCTGCTCAGAGTTATTTTTAGTGTGTATCTTTTTGAGACAAGGTCTTGCTGTTAGTATGTGTCTTTTAAAGCAGATCTGTCCAGTGTACTTCAAGCTGTGTCTTCTTCCATGTACAAATTGGTCTCTTTTTTTTTTTTTTTTTTTTGTGCCAGGAATTGAACTCAGGACCTTGAGCTTGCTAGGCAGTTGCTGTACCACTGAGCTGTCTATCTCCCTGGTCCCTTCAAATTGGTCTTTCAGTGCTCTACTTGCTTAAAGCACGAAGTCAGGGCCTTTCCTTGTGTGATTCTCCATAATTAAAGGCAAAAGAAGTTTCCAGCTAGAAGGGACTCTTTGCATTGCTGCCTATAGCCCTTTAGCTCCCTTAGTTTTGGATCTGCTGCCCTTGCTCTCCTTCTGTGTCACTGACCATCCTATGCCGCTGCTGGCTGACCCTGAGCCGCACTGACGTTCTCCACGTGGCTGATGCCCACACAGCGCACAAACCACACCTGTCCGCGGCACAGCTCAGTTCTGGTGCTTTAAAACCACTGACCATTGGGGAAAGCTATAATTTTATTTTATTTTATTTTTTGTCTTTTTGAAACAGGGTCTCGGTATGCAGTTCAGGCTGGCTGTGAGCTCACTTTGTAGCCCAGGCTGGTCCTGAACTTGCAACGATCCTCCTGCCACAGCCTCCCGAGTGCTGGGATTACAGGCGTGCGCCACCATGCCCGGCTAAAGCTATGATTTTTATGGTCAACTCTCCAAGAAGAATTTTTTAGCAGAAAATTTGGCAGAATTCTTGGTGACAGAATTATTGACAGAATTATTCTCTACTTTGCAGTGATTTCCTTCTTAGAATTCAGTCCCTTCAGGGTGGGTGTGTGCCTTGCTATTGGAGAGTGACGGTGTGGAGGGAGACAGTAAGCTGTCTTTCATAGTCCATGGCATCTGTCCTTCTGGCCCCTTCGCTCCCTCTGGATCAAATAGGGGCCTTCAGCATGTTGTGCAATAGCGTTCCCAGCGATGTGCATTTCTAGGCCTTCCTCCTCTGTAAGAAGGGACCTTTTGTCTGGTGTGAACATAAACTTTTTAAGGGACTTTCTGCCTCTTAGTACAGTGCGTGGTATTGCAGAGGGGACCTTGGTAATTATTTGTTGTGTAGACTGTTGAGTTAATGTATGCCCTGTAATGAGCCTAGTACTGTGAAGGAATTAGAGAATGTAATGTATTTATCATTAAGTTGCTTTTTCTTTTTTTTTTTTTTTTTGGTTTTTCTCCGGTACCGGGAACCGAACTCACGACCTTGCGCTTGCCAGGCAGGCGCTTTGCCAGTGAGCTAAATCCCCAGCCCCAAGTTGCTTTTTCTGATACGTGTTTTCTGTGTTTTTTCTTTAATGTAGTCATGATTGCTATAGCGTACCTGGGAGACAAGAAATACAAAGAGAGATCAGCTGAGAAGTGAGAAGTCCTGTGGGAATTCTGAGGGTAGAGAGCATGTTAATAGCTCGCTCTCGTCTCCTTTTGGGTCTGAGCTGGGGAGGGGTGTTGGCATGCTCCTTGTCAGGAATGGTGTAGACAGATGGAGTGAGGGGATAGGAGGCACGCTGGTTCCATAGCGCAGAACTGGAGGGAGTGCTGGTGCAGCTGCACACGTGTGTGTGCCCTTTCCACTTTGGCGGCCTGCCCCACCCTCCACAGAAAGCCTCTGTGGGAGCGCAATGCCAACAGCTTTTCACCTGTATCCATGGAGCGAGTATTTTGAATTTGTTGTACGGGAGAATAGTTAGGAATGGCAGACCTCGGAGTCCTCTGTGACAGCGGAGTTTGGAGTCCTGTCGCCTACTCCCCAGATGTAACTTTCATCCCCGAAGCCTTCAGGGCAGCTGTCATTCCTTCCTGCTCCTTGTTACTGGCTTTGGGGTGGGAGACCAAGGACCGTATCCGTAGTGGAGGAGTCGGGAGCCCAGAGTGTCTCCTGTTTCTGCTGTAAGAGTGAGCTGGCGCTTCTGGATTTCCGGAGCGTGTCGGGTGATGCGCACAACGTCCCAGAGCTCCACAGACGGTCACAAGGTTTTCTCTTAATACTTTCAAAATAGAATTACTACAGTAATGTTATATAACCAACTATGAGGGAAAGGAAGTGATTTTATTTAGTTAGATCTCCATGGACATTTATTTTTATTTTGGAATTTCTGAGAGTGAAAACAGTCGTCTTTGCTCTCCTAAAAGTTAAAACCTAAATAGGTGTTAGGGAAGATATATTACACAGGAGCCCGGGCTTGTGTGGAAGTGGAGTATTACCGTGTGCCAGCGCTTCGCTTTCTCTGTGACTGGCTGTAGCTGAGGCTCAGGAAGAGGGATGTGTTTCTCCTTTCCTTTCGCTCCACCCTTGCCTACTGCCCTTGGTGATGTCCTCCTGTTTCCCCTCTTTGAAGGAATTTGTAGAGGAAGAGTTTGCTTCTTCAGTAACCCACAGTCTCCCCTCTACACAAAGAACTCTTAAGGCTGCTGGAAGGATAGAAGCGAGTTAAACTGGAAGCTCGTCAGCATCTCGGAGAAAGACATGGAGTTTTGAGGAGTGAAGGTAGCATGGTGTCGGCCATGGGCGATCAGGACACAGCTGGACAATGCGGACCAATTTCTTCAGACTGCGGCTTTTCTGCTGTGTGCTGGCGGTGTTGATGGTGGTGGGCCTTGTCATCAATGTGACGCAGGTAGAGGTGAGTGCTCGGTACGTTCCGCTTGTTGGTCAGCAGTTTGGTTCACAGACAAAAGTGTTTGCCAAAATTTTGTTTTTGTTTGCAAACTCTGCCTTGGGTGACAGACACAACCACAGCCATCTTTCCTGCAAAACAAACCTGGCTATCTTTTACAGTCGTGGAACAAATTAACTTTGTTAAGGGAGATGCATATGTATATATTTTTTTCTGGTACTGGGGATTAAATTCAGTCTTTTCACACTGTTACGTCCTGGCCCTTTAAATTTTTTTTTTTTTAATTTTGAGATTGGATATTGCTAAGTCACTTAAGTTGCTTAGGCTGGCCTTGAACTTGTGACCTTTCTGCCTCAGCCTCCCAGAATGCAGGGATTATAGGAATGTACCACCGCACTTGGCAAGTTCTTCTTTTCATTTATTCAGTAAAGGGGCTGGGGATTTAGCTCAGCGGCAAAAGCGCCTGCCTGGCAGGCGCAAGGTCGTGAGTTCGGTTCCTGGTACCGGAGAAAAACCAAAAAACAAAACATTTATTCAGTAAGAATCTGAGTGTCCGCAGTATACACTGGTAAGAAGGTAAGGCTTACTGTACTTATAGAGCTCACTTTCGGAGTATACATGGGGGAAAAATACAAATTGAGTATCTCTTATCTGAACTATTTCAGACCAGAAGTGTTTCAGACTTTGTAGGTTTTTATTTCACTTTAGAAAGAAAAGAGGTTTATTTAGACTGTTACATTAAAGGCTTTTGGGTTTTGGAATTTTGTGTACACTTTACTGGTTGGGTGTCCCTAATCTGAAAATCTGAAGTCAGGTGCTCCAAAACCCAACCTTGCAAAAAGTTTGAGATTTCAAAGCATTTTGGATTTCAGCTTAGGGATGCTTATCCTGTAATAAGTAATAATCACAATCATGTAGTATAGCATTCTGATAATTAGAAATTATGAGAAGTGCCATAAGGAAAGGAGGGGAGTTACTCTAGGTTAGCGCTGGAGTGAGAGAAGAAAAGCGTGTTCAGGAGCAGACCTTGTCAGTGGCACCTGACACAAAGCCGGAGTGTTACACAGGAGTCGCTAAGTCTTTGTGAAGAGCACTAAGCGCGCTGCGGGACGGAGACCGTGTCACTGAACCCTCGCAAGTGCTTGACACTAAGAAGGCCCATGGTAGCATTTCTCCCTCTTTCCACCCGCTGCCATGACTTGGGTATCATAAAACTTCTGGAATAGTTTCTGCATAAAAAGTCGCTGTTCTTTTTGTTTTGTTGGCTTGTGGTACTTCTTAGGTTACAAGTCTGACCTGATGGCATTTCTTTGCGTATTAGGTTTTATTAGCACAAGATGCTCTAAAAACTAAGCCACAGGCTTTAAAAAAATTTCTCCTACTGGAATTCACTTTGTGGTTTTTTTACTGGAACACCTAATTTCACTATGAAATGGGCACATAGGGTCCTACAGGTTTTTTTCTGTGAATCTTTAATAAAAATTGTTCAATACTTGAAAAATGCTAAATGGCTCTGTTCAAGATTTTCTATTAAATATGACTTTGAAGTATGAGAATAAAGTCTCTCTTTTCTCTGCTTACCCTGCTCTTGCATGTGTTGCTGTGGATAAGTGGGTGCAGGTTCTGCACCGCTAGCGCTGTCTGCCTGGAAGCTGTCAGGGATGGGTCCAGGTGTGACAGCATCGTTCTCTCTCTAAGGTAGACATAACATAACCCACCATCTTAACCAGTTGTAAGCATACAGTTTAGTGGAGTTGAGTACATTACATCTTACGCAACTGCTACCACCATCTGCCTCCAGAATTTTTTTATTTTCCTAGACTCAAACTCTGTACCCAAGGGACAGTAATCACCCAGTCTTTCCCACCTTCAGCAGGCGCCCACTGTTCTGTTTTCTGTCTCTGGATGTGATGACTATAGGTGCTGCGTAGAAGTGGAATCATACGGTATTGGTCTTTTTCATAACTGGCTCTTTTATGTTAGCAGAATGTCTGCAAGGTACATCCATGTTGTAGCAGGCATCAGAATTTCCTGTGTAATATGTCTGTCTGTACACACAGAAAAAAGAATTATTGTTCATTCCTTAAAGAGGAATTTTGATCCGTGCTACAACATATACGTGTACATACCGTATTTTGTCTATCTGTTCGTCTGTCAGTGAACATTGGGGTTTTGCCTCCCTTGGCTGTTGTGCATAGTACTGTTATGAAGGTGGAGGTACAGATACTTCTTCGGGCCTCTGTTTCAGTTTCTTGGATGTGTTTGCACGGTGAGACTTCTGTAGCATGTGGTACTTCTAGTTTTTGAAGAACCACGGTACTGTTTTTCATAACAGTTGTACCATTTTCATTCCCACCGGCAGGGCACAGGGTTCCAATTCTTCCACATGCTTCCTGTACTTACTGTCATTTTGGTTTTTTGAGACAGGGTCTCACTGTGTTCCAAGCTGTCGTCAGAATCATACTGTAGCCCACAAGCTGGCCTTAAACTTGAATCCTCCTGCAAGAATGTTGGGTTTTGTTTTTTGTTTGTTTGTTTTTGTTTGTTTTGTTTTGTTTGTTTTTTGAGATAGGGTCTGGAAGCTGTCAGGGATGGGTCCGGGTGTGACAGCATCGTTCTCTCTCTAAGGTAGACATAACATAACCCACCATCTTAACTAAATGTTTTGTTTTGTTTGTTTTTTGAGATAGGGTCTCACCATATAGTTCAGTCTGGCCTTGAAATCACTGTAGCCCAGGTTGACCTGGAACTCTTGGCAATCTTCCTGCCTCAGCCTCCCAAGTGCTAGTATTACAGGTATGTACCATTGCTCCTGGCTGCTGCCCAAAATGTTGGGATTGCAGATGTGTGCTCCCATACCTGGCTTTTTTTTTAGATTGTAACCTTTGTTGTGGGTGTGAGATAGTGTCTTACTGTAAGGTTGTGTATGTATGTATGTGCATGTGCGTGTATGCACATGTGTGTAAGCCAGGGCTTTGTGTATGCCAGGCAAGTGCTGTACCACTGAGCTACATCATTAGCCCTGTTTTTATTTTGAGCTGGGCTACACAGCCTGGCCTTAAACTTGTGATGCTTCTGACTCAGTCTCTTGAGTAGTCATCATTTTAATTTGCATTTCCCTAGTGGTTTGTGATGCTGAGCATGTTTCTGTGTTCTTCTTGGCCGTGTGTGTGTGTGTGTGTGTGTGTGTGTGTGTGTGTGTGTGTGTGTATTTTTGAGAATTATCTATTTAAGTCCCCCTCCCCCTTTTTGATGCCGGGGGTCAAGCCTAGGGTTTCATGCTTACTAAGCAAGCACCCTGCCATTGAGTGATAGCTTTAGCCCTGTTGTTACCAGTCAGCTCAGGTTTCATTTTGTGTGTGCGCGCATGCGGTTTGGGTAGAAATTGTGGAAAGGCAAAGGGCATCTGCCTCCCTCCCTCCCTGTTAACAGCTCCAGCTCTGAGTGCCACGGCTCCCAGCTCTTAATGTTAACACCTCCTGCAGCTCTTTGCAGCCCTCTTAGCAGTCCACAGTGGCTGGAGCTAGTAGCTCTTACGCAGCTTTCCCTGCAGCTCCTGGTTCAGTCATGGCGAACCTTCTAGAGATGAGCGCCACACTGCAGCCCGAAGCCACTCGTTTCAGAGTGCCAACACTGCAGTTCAACCTGAGGGTTAAGGGTTCAGTTTAGAGAGAAACCACTCATACTTTAACATCTTTTGTCTTAAAAGAAAAATACCGTGCGTGCCGTAGGTTAGCCACCACTGTCCTCGGTCTTAGCAGTTCTCTGATGCCAGGTGTTTTCAGGACAAGCAGCCCCTAGGGTTACCAGTTCTTAGTGCAGCCAGCACCTCCTGGTCTGCTTGGAGTAGAATTAACAAGTAAGCAGAATAAAACCGTCCCAGACGGGTTTTATTGAGGCTCTCGGTGCGCGGGATGAGGGAGGTGCCCTGGACTGGCCCGAGGGGAGTGGGGCCGCAGGTTTTATTGAGGCTCTCGGTGCTCGGGATGAGGGAGGTGCCCTGGACTGGCCCGAGGGGAGTGGGGCCGCAGGTAGGTGGGAAGGCAGGCCCGCACGCGTGTGGTCTCCTCCGCTCACCCCGTGCACCGCCGTGCCGTCTGTGCGGGCCTCCTGAGCTGCCCTGCCCCGGCTGCTCTCCACCACAGTGAGGACGCCGCAGTGGCTGCTTCGTGGGTGGAGACCGGCGGCTGTGGGTGGGGTCGTCGGGAGCAGCCTGGCCAGGCACGGTCTCCCAGGTCAGTCGTGGGGAGTCGGGTTCAGCCGTAGCCCAAGTAAAGCTCTTTCTCGGTGATCATGAAAGTTGTAAAGACACAAACACAAACGTTACATTGCATACAGTGTAATGTACTCAATCAATTCCCTCCCGTTTTTTTTTTTTTTTGAGATGGGGTCTCCCTGTGTAGCCAGGCCAGGCTTGAACTCACTCTTCTGCTTTAGCTTCCCCAGGGCTAGGATTGCAGGTGTGCGTGACCGCAAAAATGTGCTCTCTCTGCCGTTTTCCAGATTCCACCTACCCTTTCAGTATCCATAGTTTGTTGCAGCGTCATTCTCTCTGATATTGATAGTTTGTGTCTTTTTTTATCAGTCAGGCTAGAGGTTTGTCGGTTTTATGGATCTTTTCTAAGAACAAACTTAGTTTTATTGCTTTCTCACTCTGAGGTTGGGTTTTTTTTTTTTTTTTTTTCATTACTGGGGTTTGAACCCGAGGCCTTATCAGTGAGCTGCATCCTCAGCCCTTTTTAGTTTTCACTTCGGGACAATCTCAGCAACTTGCTAAGGCCAGGCCGGGCTCAGATTTGTGATACTGGCTCCACTCTGAATTTTATGATTTTTCTTCTACCTGGTTTTTCTTAGAGGAAGATAAGGTCATTTACTTGAGAACTTTCCTTTTAGATAAAATGTTTAGTGCTGTACATTTCCTTTTACATACTAGTGTGGCGGTATACCCCAGCTTTTGATATAGTTTGTTTTTATTTTCATTCAGTTCAGAATACATTCTAGTTTTT